CATCAGCCAGCAGCATGCTGGGCTATGCATGTGTGTGTGCGTGTGCCTCGCATAGCATTGCACAGCACCATGCACCAGCTAGAAACCTGCTGGGTTGTGCGTGTGGTGCGTGTGCTTCGCATAACAGCGCCAAGCAAGCAGCTCGCCATGCCTCGCCTAGCAGCAGCGCCTAGCATACGTGGCTCGCTAGCAGCACGCATGCACTGGCTGGCTGCGCATGCGGACTGGCAATGTGTTTGGGGTGCTAGCTGGCTGGTCAGGCTGCCCAGCCTTGTTGGTAGGCACCAGCTGTCAGCCAGGCTCCCCAACCTTGTTGCTAGGCTGCCAGCCAGCCACTTGGATGGGGAGAGCCGGTTTCCTAGTGGGGACCAAGGGTTGTGAGGTTTGCCTTGGGGAGCAAGGCTATGGTCCCCCCTTGGAAATGGTCCTCACCTAATCTCTCATCCTCCTTGTGCCACTTGTAACTTATTGATTGAATTGTTGTTTTATTTTGTTTTAGTTAAAATAAATTGGGAAAATTGCAAATCTCCCACATTGATTGAGAGTTGGAATTCAAGGTTCATTTCCCTATAAATAACAAGGTTTTGGGATTTGGGAAGGACACTTGAGTGGAACTAAAAAGGCATCTCCTTAGAAAAGTGATAAAACCTTAAGTTCGTAAAACTCTAGTTTTTATTGGTCGGGTCCCGACTAACCTTCGGGATTTGGATCGTTCGGGTTAGGTTCGTGGGTACAAGCCGTCGGAGACTTTCGCATTTGCGGGGTTCGAGTTTTGAAGTAAGAGCTCGAGATTCGAGCGAAGCACACGCCAAGGGTAAAAATGTCTTTTCTTTCTCTCTCTTAATTGTTGTTTAATTAGTGATTGCATGCTTAGTCACTTTAATTAGTGTGCGGGTCTTGGGCGGATTTCCCTTCCGCGTAGAGTCGGACTCTACGAAACCCAACACTTTCTCCCTTCCTTCAATCGTCTTAAATCTCACCAAGAAAACCCCATTTTTCATTGTAGAGATTCAATCAACTCCAAACCTACTCCATGATCTTCTAATGAAAGTATTCATGATTCTATGAGGTAGATTATAACTAAGAACATAGCAAACAACTGCAGATTTCCATAAATTAATTTTCAATTCTACATCTTCCTTCGTAATCTGAACCCACTCATCCCCCTGTTCATCCATTTACCTCTCTCTATTATGATTGATTTCCCTCTTTTAAGACAGATCCAATCCCTAATGCCTGTTTTCTTTAAAGAACTCACTCCATTTCCGAACATTATTCAACCTAGAAATGGTAGTAGCAAGAGACGCAAAAACAGGGTTTTCCGAAACAGGACTTAGGATGTCATTAGCATTCTAGCAATTATTTATAGAATTTTGCATGGAATTACCACCTATCATCAACAATGGAGTTGGATTATCATACCTCAAAGGTGTTACAAACAAAATACCTTCAGTCATGCCAACATGCTCTTTCAATAATGGTGATTGACCAGAAATTACCGATAACCACTGATTAAAATTACGATGCATGCAGATGTTTCTCCTCCTCATACACTAGTTTAACCTTGATCTCCTCAATTCTTTCCTTCGCAAGCCAGTTCTCCATTGAACTCGCATCCATATCCAAACCCACTTCTGAATTTTTAACTTTTGATCGAGTTTTTAGCTTTGATTTCTTCTTCTGTTTAGATTTAGAGCCTAAGGATTTCTTCCCTCTGCCTTTCCTCCCTTTTTCCATGGCTCAAATCCCAAGATTTGGGGGAAAATGGCAGTAGAAGAGATATTCTCTAGCTTTCTCCCAATAACTTTCTCTCTCTAGGGTTTTTTTTTACTTTCACTTTCTCCTCTTCTGATATAACTTGCTGCTTCTTTTGGATGCATTGATCTTGAACTCTAGCAATCTTAATTGAGTGAATGTTCTGAACTTCATCAACTGCATGCTTCTTACGGCTATTCACTTCCACAACATCAGCCATAGTTTTGGGGCGAAGTGATGATTTATTTACTTGCTTTGAAACCTATAAAACAAAAGGAAAATAAAGCATTACTAATTACATGTAAACCGTGAAAAATAATAAAAACAGTCTGTATAAATGACAAAATAGAAGTGAACACCTGTTTACTGGCTTTTCTTTTTCCAAAAGTAAGATTGCCAGCTTCCATAATGTTATCAGTTTCAACCTCATTTTCACCATCATTTTCTGACGTAGAGTCATCATTCTCATTTTCTGGTGTACTATTCTGCATTGCACTTGGACAAATTAAGGCTTTTGTTTTTGCTTCAAGTATCTTATTAGCAACAGATGTCGATTCTAGGGCTTCCATTTTCTCTGCATTGAATTTTAGTTTTTGAAGCCGTTGCAGCTCATATTCTGTAAGCTGACTTTGGGAAGCAGAAACTTTGGGTCGATTCCGTTTCATCTGGAAAAAAAATGGAAGTATGTTAATTTTGTATGTAAATACAATAAACTGAAATGAATTGCAATGTAAAATAAGCTCATTTATAACATATAGTGAAGTATTAAAAAAATGTATGTCAATACCATCTGAAAACTCTCTAGGAGGGATTTAAATAGCATAATTCCAACCTTCTCTATTCAAATCTTCTACATAAAACACTTGATGTGCTTGATTTGCTAAGATAAAAGGTTCTTCTTTGGAAACGGTCTTATTCATATTAACCGTAATGAGCTCATCATCATCCTTTTCTGAGTGAAACCATTGACATCGAAATAAGACAACACTGAAATGACCATGATAAGATATCTCAATGATTTCAATTATTGAACCATAATAATTAACATTTCATACAACAGGATTTTGATCTTTGGAGCTTGCAAAGCTATTTGTAATGGCTGTTAGAGCGACGCCACTATTTTGAGTTACGCAGTTTACATCTCTCTTCATGGTATGAAACCTATAGGTGTTAACTGAGTACCCTGTGTACTTTTTGGCAACGTGAGAGGGACCTTTTGATAACCACAAAATATGGTATGGGATATTATCATGGCCTTCTTTAAGAAACAAATCAACTTTCTCCCTAAACCAATCCATGAAATCCTTGCTATGGTCTTGAGCACTATTCCATTTTCTTTTCCTTTTAGCACTTACACAAATCTTGTGCTCACTGTAAAAATAAAATATTTATCTTACTAAGGCGCTAGAGTTAGAATAAGGACATTTAAAATAATAATAATAATAATAATAATAATAATAATAATAATAATAATAATAATAATAATAATAATAATAATAATAATAATAATAATAATAATAATAATAATAATAAGAATAAGAATAAGAATAATAATAATAAACCTATATTATGTTTACAAATCTTACCTTATATATTTCTCAACTTCCTCACAATCACAATTGAACAAGACATAACAATGCGCTTGTGCCCATGTAATGCGATCAATTATGTGTCCACGATTTTTTTTTCTTTGAGGTCCTTCCTTTTCCTTTGATAGGACGTCCTACCTTAAGGAAAAGTGATTTTGAGGTACCACACTCATTAACTTTAGATATGGCTTTGCTTGATCGTTTCAAAAATCTAGCTATGAAAGCAACACATTCTTTAGCTTTGTATCCTTCTGCCATTGAGCCTTCTAGGCGAGCCTTGTTTTGAACATCTTGTTTCATTTCATGAAGATTCCTCTCAATTCCATACATACACCTTGAACTCACAGGTCCACCCAACTTAAATTGGTCTACCAAGTGTATGGGTAAATGTTCCATTATATAAATTAAAAAAGCAAGTGGAAAATCCTCTCAAGTAGGCATAGAGTTTCAATTATCTCGGATTGCAATTTTCCAAGATCTCGAGGATCAATAGTTTTACTCCATATACCTTTGAAAAAAGCACAAAGTCTTATCAAAGGACTAGCAACATCTTTGGGTAATGTTGTCTTCACAGCAATTGGAAGAAGATAATTCATCATAAAATGAGCATCATAGCTTTTGTAGCCTACTATTTTCCTTTCTCCAACTTGCACATAACGACTAAGGTTGGAAGCATAACCTTGAGGAAGCTTTGCATTTTTTATAACCTGGCAGAGCTTACGCTTTTGCTCCAATGACATCCAAAAGCGAGATCTTGGAAATTCTTCACTACCATCTTCCAATTCTATTGGTTAAAGCTCTGGCATCAGATTAATTTCTACCAAATCTCGACGAGTACTCACATTATCCTTGGTCTTCTGAGAAATGTCTAATGACATCGCAATGACATTATCAAAGACATTTTTCTCAGTATGCATTACATCAAGATTATGGAGATTAGAGCAATGCTTCCAATATGGCAACTCAAAAAATATATGGGTATCTTTCTTCACGGGGTCGGATCATCCACATCACGCCATGGTTTATTTTGCTTCTTTCCAAATGCATTTGGAAAATCACGCAACATATTCTCAATATCAATTCCATTCAATGGAATAGGTTGACATCTTTCCTCAAGTTTTCCGTTAAAATTCCTCTTATCATGACGCCAAGGGTGAGATGGATCCAAAAATTTACGATTTTCCCTATACACATTCTTACCACTACAAGGCAACCAGTCAGAATCTGTTTCGTAATGACATTCAGGGCATGCCAAGTATCCTTTTGTGCTCCACCCAGATAACATTGCATGACCCGAAAAATCACTAACGGTAGTCATCAATGCTACATGCATGTCAAACCTTTGATTAGTCGAAGCATCATAAGTTTCCAACCCAAACTCCCACAAATCCTTCAAGTCCTTGATAAGTGGCTGAAAATATATGTCGATGTCATTGCCAAGGGAAGACGGGTCGGGTATTAGTAAGGCTAGCATCAAATACTCGAGCTTCATAATCATCCAAGGAGGCAAGTTATAATTAATCAACATAACTGGCCATGATCTATGGACAATGCTCATTGAGTTGAACGGGCTAATCCATCTGTGTCTAACCCAAGCCTCTCATTGCGTGGGTCATCAGCAAACTTTGGATATAAAGAATCAAATTCCTTCCAAGCTTAACCATCAACTGGATGATGTAAAAGATGATCATTTTCACGCCCATCAACATGCCAAGTCATGTATCTCGTCGTCTCTTGACACATAAATAGCCGTTGAAGCCTTTTCTTTATTAGAAAGTACCTAAGAATCTTTTGAGGAATCCTATAGGTCTTTCCATTTTCATTTTGTATGTCATTCTCTGTGTCATTTGATTTCCATCTTGGCGTCTCACAAACATGGATATGGCAGCTTGTTGCGTTTTCATGCTCTTCCCAATATATCATGCAATCATTTGGGCATACATCTATCTTAGTGTAATCCAACCCCAACACTTTCAAAACACTTTTTGCTTCATTAAAAGAAGCTGGCAGTTTTGCATCAGGTAACACCTCCCTTATAAGCTCCAATTTATCTCCAAAAGCAACATTAGTTATCTTATGATCACACTTCAAAATAAAAAGTCGGATCATGAAGGAAAGTTTTGAATGATTTTTAAAACCGACATACAAGTCTTCCTGGCCCTCTTCAACTAACTTAAAAAACTTTTTTGCCTCGTCAATTAGCCCATTTCTAAAAGCATCACGTGCATCATACAACAACCCTACGATGTTATCATTAAAATCATTTGGGTTTGACCTTTCATCATTATCGAAAATATTTTGTTCCCTTTCAATGCTGATCCCTAACTCTGATAACTTATCCATTCGAGGAACAAAACCATTACAAATAAGGTGATCTCTCACAACACCTTCATGACGCCAAAAACGATAATGACAACTTTCACAAGGATAACAAATTGGATTTCCTTGAGACTTAGAAGAAAAAGCCTTTTGTACATATTCATCTACTCCCCGCTCATATTCATTACACCATTTGGCAAACATCCACCACTCTTTAGCTCCACTATCCATACCTTAGGGTAAGAATTAAGAGGGTTACTTTAATTAACTTTTAATGTAAAAACATTTAATCAATTCACTAAGAATTAAGAGAGTTACTTTAATCAATTAGAAAGAACTGACAATAAAATCTGCTTTACAACCACCAAGAAGAAAGATAACTACTCTAAAAATCAACTTGTGCTCAAATAGCAAATACATGAGTGCGGACAAATATGTTAAACAATCTACCTTATGCAAGCTTTAATTAAAACAAAATGGTCTGGTAACACTACACCACACATGAAAAAACAAATACATTCTTCTCAATTACAGGATTTCACACAGTTCAAAAAGCATACATCACCTAAGCTACTCATGGAGATCAATGAAAACATCAACATAAAACACACTTCCTAAAAACAAAAGGGATGACTACAGGGACAACCTGCCCGTACCCACTCCAGAGCACTCTTCCCATCAGTTATACTCATACATATACATACATAAGAGAGATACGGGGAAAAAAAGTTCACACAAATAATTCACAGCTCACAAAAATGGATATAGCAATTACAAAAATTAATAAACAAAACAAATCATCATAGCTGATACAAAAGTAATAAACTTGGATTTCTGAAGTCTTACCCCATGAACCAAATCAACCACCCCAGATCCGAAGATGCACTCTAACTTTTTGACCATAAGATTAAGACATGCAACAGCAAGCATTGCACTATGTGGAGCAGATTTTCATACTAAGAACTAAGTAAAATCAATATATCTTCTTATCCATTTATATGGAATTCCCCCAAAAAGCCCCATTAGACTACTCGAATACAATATTCAGTACTTGAGAGCAAAATATCTAGAAAGAAACTTATAAAGAAAAAATAATTCACGAGTCACGACATGGTTCATACTGAACATATGATGTATATACCTTGCGACTGGAAGTAGTTTTCAACTGGAAACCAAATAGAGTATAGTTACTTATTTTACTACATATCTATATTATGCAACGCAAGATAGCCCCATATTATACCCTAAAAACATCTATCGAGTATCTAACCTTCATCCAAAAATTAAACCACAAGTCCACAACATGTTCACAACAATAATAATATAATATCAGCAACAACTAATAATCAAAGCGCAACAACATCCGTATTAGCGATAGCAACATTAGGGATAATATTCAAATTCAACAACAACAACTGCATGCAGTAACAACTAACCGTAACAACGACTGCAACAACATCAACAACGACAAAAATAACTAAAGCAGCGACAACAATAATAGTAGTTGCAACAAGAAAAACAATAGCAGCGACAACAATAGCAATAATGAACACAAGTATACAACAACAAATTAGAATTTAGCAATAGCCTCTTCTCTAGATCCCCCCTTGCCCAAGAGGCCAAGACTCCTTTGCTTTCATTCACCCCTCCTCGATGGGTTCCTACACTTTTCATCCAAACACAAAAGCAAAAACTTTAAATTTCAAGAGACTGGTCATCCGTAGTATGTAACAACAAAAAGTCGAAGTAGAAAAGGCCATGGAAGAAACTGGAGATGAAGAAATATGAAGCCAAGAGGGAATACTGATATTTACAAAGCTGGTAAGTTAACCACCTCTCCCCAAAATTCAAACCCAAATTAAATACAAAGATACCCAAAACAATTTTTCACAAATCTAGAAACCAAACTCGATAATGAAGAACATACATGTCAATAATAAAGAACTGGAGCATATCAGCTGCGTTTCTAATTTTACTTATAAGAACTTAAGAAAGCAACACCATCCCTTGCCACAAAATGCAACCACAAAATTTCAATTAAACAATCTCAAAATGAAAATTCGTTTTATACCTTAAACAGAAATTCGAGCAATCAGCTCAAGGAAGGGACATGCAAGACGAAAATGAGACCGTCTGAGTCCCGCTATCAGCCACCACCACCTGAGTGCCCAATCAGCCACCGCCGCCTGAGTGCCGCCTTCATCTACTTCCTCAGATTTCTTTGCTTTATTTTTCTCTTAGAATTTTTGAGTAATTTTTTTCGTAATTTCTCGCTCAGAATTTGGAAGTAATTCTGGAGAAATGAAGAAAATATGAGAATGTGAGAAGATGGAGAATTGGGAAAAAGGGAGAAAACGGGTACTGTGAGAAAATGGATACTCTCAAAATTTGGAAGTAACACGTGTTGCTCAAAATATTTGGGCAAAAAAATAGAGGGAAGTACTACGCGCGCTTCTAAAGTTTGCATCATACAATACACATATCGTGGCAATAGCTCCCTTTTTTGTTAAAATAGCTAGGCTAATGCAACGGTTCTTTAGAGCCGTGGCAATAGCTCTACCTCTAAGAACATTAGTATTAAATCTGTGGCATTAGCCTACTCTATTGCAACGACAATTAAAGTACCGTTGTATTAGCCTTTATCAGGCCGTTGCAATAGGTTAAAAATGTAGTAGTGGATGTGATGCTTCTATTGTGGTGGGCAAGGCCACTACATGAGGGAATGCAAGATCTTCCAAAGGGATGAGTGAAGGAGGAATGTTTCATCCACCTTAGGTATCTTCATTAACACTTGTGTATAAGCTATTCATAGGTATTGAATAAAATGTATGACTTACTTTATGCTCCTATTTTCAGGGACCAAGTGAGAGAGCTTCACAAGTGGATGTGCAACTACGAGCGGAGAATGGAGATGGTTCTTCCATCGTTCTTGTAGGAACATTATTTGTATTTGGCTTGTAATAGAATTAATTCTTGTTTTATTATATTTTTCTTACCTTTGAACATGTTTTGATCTATGGGGTTGGACGCCGGATTGTTTTTATCACAAGACTATAATAATGGTTGTTTTTTAATGTCTTGCTTATATGTTTATGGGATTACACATTCTAAATGTGCTTTCTTTTGACAAAAAGGTTTATTATGTTAACAATACCACAAAGAGAACTAAGACCATTGAATCGAATCAAACTTACCTGTGGCATTGTCGTCTTGGCCACATTAACACCAAACGCATCAAGAAACTTCTACAAGAAGGTATTCTTGACTCATTCGACTTAGAGTCGTTTGAAAATTGCGAAGGATGCTTATTAGGAAAGATGATAAAGTAACCACTCTCCAAGTTAGGAGAAAGGGCCGGTGACTTATTGGGCCTCATACACACGGATGTATGTGGACCAATGAGTACAACCGCAAGGAATGGATATCGCTATTGTATCACATTCACGGACGACTATAGTAGATATGGATATGTCTACCTCATGTCGCAAAAATCAAAATCATTTGAGAAATTCAAAGAATTTTAAAGTGAAGTGGAAAATCAGCTTGGCAAGAAAATGAAAGCCCTTCGATCTGATCGAGGTGGTGAATATTTAAGCCATGCATTTGACGATCATCTGAAAGAACATGGTATTCTCTCGGAGTTGACACCTCCCGGAACTCCACGATGGAACGGAGTGTCCGAGAGGAGAAATCGAACTTTATTAGACATGGTTCGATCCATGATGGATCTTAACGATCTTCCTATCAGTTTTTGGGGACATGCACTTCAAACCGCGACACTAACACTGAACCGCGCTCCGTCAAAAGCTGTCGAAAAGACTCAATATGAATTATGGACGAAGAAACCTCCGCGATTGTCTTTTCTTAAGATTTGGTTGCAAAGCATATGTCAAAAGATTAATTTCTAACAAACTTCACCCAAAATCTGACAAGTGTTTCTTTGTGGGATATCCAAAAGAAACCAAGGAGTATTACTTCTACAACAAATCCGAGAACAAAGTATTTGTTGCTCGTGATGGTGTCTTTTTGGAGAAGGAGCACCTTTCCAAAATGACAAGTGGAAGGAAAATCGAACTTGATTAAGTTCGAGAGGATGAGCAACAAAGTCAACCTGACAAAACTGACAATCAAAGTGCTTTAGAAGCAGCTGTTAACATTGGTTAGAGTCAAACCGACAATGTGCAAAGTCAAAATGACAATGCAAATGCTCAACCTATTACCCTACATAGGTTGCAAAGGCCAAGATCTCAATCATGAGAGCGAATTAGATTAGGTCATTGGACTAACTATCCCTCTACCAAACAATATTTATAAACCTAAACTTACACTAAATAAGTCTAGCGGTAAGTAAAGGGTCGATCCACATAGCAAGGGGAGTCAAGGTAATTAATGTGACGAGCACAAGCATAACAATGAACACGGACATTCTCAATCAATTGAAAGGGGCTCTTAATCATCTAGGTCTCTCCTGAGCACACTATACAATCAAGCACCTAATCCCGGCCGAGGCTCGTGATCAACTCAAGGGGTTCACTTCTACCTAAATAGCTCTTTTCCAAGCAACTAAATAGGGTAGCAATTAGATCATGCATTCAATTAGCCAAAGTGAAAGCAAGCATTAAACACACCTCAATGAGCAAATCCAAATCATTTAGAATTAACCATACACACCACTATACTAGCACTAATCAATCATAAACAAACACCATTGATAGTATAATTAGTCAAGTAGATAGAATTGGAGAATTTCCTAACACCCTAGGTCACTCCCGCACACACTAGGCCATTAAACTCTCAACCCGCCTATGAGGTCGTGGTCAACTAAGAAATGAAATTCTTCTATTAGACTAGCTCACTCCCGCACAACTAGCGTAATAGTGACTAAATCATGATATTGATTGGCTAAAAAGACACCAAGCATTAAGCCCTTCATTCTTAGTTCAATAAACCAACACTCCCAAACAAACCATCAATAAAGTGTTCAATTTGCACATTAATCAACAATCATCCCTAACCCTAGCTAAGAAACTAAACTAACATGACTAAATCAACAAGACAAAGAACTAAACTCATCTAAACTAGCAAAAATAAAGAAAAACAATCAAGAACCTAAATAAACACAACTATCGAGAATAACTAATCTAAACCATTAAACTAAGTAAACAAGAAATTAGGGAAAGCAATAAACTAAGAACAAAATCAATTTCTAGAACAACTAAACAAAACAATAA